TAAAATAATTTTTTTCTAATCTCTAAAACGTAAAACTGATAATCACTTATCCCTATTTAAAACTAATGATTATCCCTTGGTCATTTTATTTTTCAAAGCATAATTTTTTTTGACTAAATTAGTTATATCGAAAATCCCTAATTCCTTATTAATCCCATTTGCAGACCCTTTATTTGTTTTCAAGAGTAATGCTAGGGGCACTCGCTTTTCGCACTCTCCGGCCAACACTTTCTCTTTTATGGGGCCACGTTATCTTGGTTCCAGAGAAATTGGCCTGAAAGCTCTAAAAAAAAGAAGCTTACGTGGCCCAATGAAAGGGGAAGTGTTGGCCGGAGAGTGCGAAAAGCGAGTGCCCCTAGCATTGCTCTTGTTTTCAATTTCCCTTTTCTCTATCTTTAGCCATCAAGGGATCAAGGGGGAAGATTGATTCGGGCACGGTAAATGTTGAGCGGAACGATTTTATTCAAAGATGGGGGTGGAGATAGGGAATGGAAGGGTGGCCCTGGAGATTGGATTTGATTCTGTTAGCCGGCCGTGGAGAGCAACCAAGTTGGTGGATAGACAAGGGAAAGGAAATGGCCGGAAAAAGAAAAGAGGAGAATGAATCCGGCAGCTTGCCGGGCAACTCAGGGTCACCGTCCAATCAGGTGAGTAGATCCCTTTTTATTTTTGTTTATCATTTTCAATTTTCATTTTATTATTTTCCTAACATTCGCTTTCTTTGGACAGGGATGATTTGGGTATAAGCTCAATGGCTTGGAGACCAGAAGATGGGTGAAATTCCAAGCATACAGCTTTTGGACTCTAGGCTGCCAACAAGAAGGTAAAATACTCTCATATCTCCTTATTCCTACTATGACTGGGAAAAAGGGATTAGAAGGGTGACTAGATGTGTATTGAATGTGAAATTTGGAGTTCTTTTTTTTTTTTTTTTTAATTCTGCGAATGAACGGAGGTGTGATTTTGGGGGTTGAAAGGAAGTTTAGTTTTTTGTTTTGACTGTGATTTGAACAAAGAATGTTTCTGTGAGTGATGCGAACTGCGTGTGGAAGATGGAAGCTTTGAAAAATAAGTCTGGCTTTTGAGCTTTTTATGAGTTTTGAAAGAAGCTTTTTTGTTTCCGCCAACAATTTGGAGCAAAGGATTTAGTTGGCGGCTGGGAGTGTGTTGTGCTACTGATCATGATAATTGACTGTGATGCAATGAAAATGAAAGTATGCAATATTGGCATGCAATTTAAGAAAAAAGAAGGGGAAGTTCTTGGGACAAAAGTCAGTTGTTAAGAGATTAGATTGGACACCACAAGTGCTTTAATACAACAGGTCCCCATTGCTACCGCATAGAGGGCAAGGTGTTGAATCCTCGTGCTACCGCCCAAAGGATTCCTATTTATTAATTATTTTGTGCACATGAAAATGCAGACCAACATGCTTGTGGTCTAAAAATTCTATCTAAAGAAATGTTAGAAGGATTGAAAATTAATGCAGTAGATGAAGAAAAACGAATCACTAACCACTTTATGGCTTCTCCCTTCACCCTTGAATGTACTGTTTCAATTACCTCTTTCAAGTTGGCTTTTCCTTTCTTCTTAAATTAAATAGACTCCAGCAACTTCCCCCTTTTCTTAGGGTTTCTTTAACCTCCTTCCAAACTCTATTCTCCTAAAAATGAAAAAAACCCCCGACGTGGGCTGTTGATTGGCTACTTTTATAGCCAAAGATTGGGTAATGGCCCTAGGTTTACGGGTGTGTATTTTACATGGAACCACTTTCATAGTTCCATGTAAAACAGAAAATCAATAAATAAATAAATAACATGTAAGTAATAAAGAAAATAATTAATACACTTTTTTATTCAATATATTTGTCAATTTTTATTAATTTAATTATTAAAATTTGTAATTCTAAATTTTTTACATTTAATTCAAATTCAAAAAATAATAATTTGTTAATAATGTGTTATAAAAAATGTTAACCGAATGATACATGCATTAGTGTTCAATTAACAAATGAATTCCATTGGGGAAAAAGGACAAATTAAAGCATTATTTCAAATTTGCAAATCTAACATGCATGCATGCATTAGAAAAAAAAAATCAAATAGTACTTCAGTTCTACAAATCACAAAACAAGGAGAAATATAGCAAAAATTCAAGCGAACTTGAGGGAGTTACTACTGAAACAGATTAAAAGAAGAGAATTAAAACAATAAATTGTCCGAGCAAATCAAACTTACCGTTCTTGATTTGCAGAAGAGGAAATGAATTGATATTTTAAAAATTTATGTCTGCTCCACCGGAGATGTTGCTTCTCTGTAGTAAGAGTAAGAAGAAGGAGAACTATTTTCTATGATTTACTTTTGAAGGAACTCCGTCGGTTTTATATAGAGGTGTGAGAAAGACCAGGCGGCCGTCATTTTCTCTTGCTCACACTTTCCTTCAAATAACAACGCAATTTTTAAAAATTAATTAAGCCTCCATTATGGTGGTAGGTTTTGGTTTTTGTTTTTTTGTTTCCATAAATTTTATAATTTAAAAAAACTTATTTACTTTTACATGTTTTTGCAATATATATTATGATTATTAAAGAAATA